TCGGGGGTCCATGCGAGTGTGCCATCAGGGGTCCATGCGAATGCATCGGGGCTCCATCTGAATGAATTGGTGGCAAGGTTGGCAACTGCTTGGAAGCTGAAGCTGCTGAACCCAGGCTTCGCGCTCCAATATTGTCTTGTCTGGTTTCCACATTTGGATATTATTAGCTGTCGCGATGGCAATATGTTCGCCGCTGGCGAATACCGAACGGAGACAGCTGGACTATCACACCCCTTGATTGTCCTTGAACCTGCCATGTTTGTGTACACCACAGCGTTAATGTTGCGTTGTCGTTTGAACAGGTGGCCAGCGCTGCACCATCTAGGGAAAGTCCAGTGATATGATCCAACCGAAGCCGCCCTGGCGGCCCGCAGTGGCATTGATGGGTCGACTGAGAGGTGCACCGGTGTTACCATCCCAGCCGACGAGCTCTTCATTCTCACCACCGCTTGCTATCAATCGCCCATCCCGTGATACTGCCAATGTCTTCACCTGGCCGCTATGCCGCTCCATTTTCTTCAACACAGCACCTGTCTTCAAGTCCCACAGACGAAGCATCTTGTCTTGCGAGCCTGTCACCATCCGTCGTCTATCGGGGAAACTGCGACTGCAGTCACAGGTCCACCATGATATTTTGCAAACTCTCGAACTGGTATGGTGCTTGGAATGAACTGTGTCATTTGACTGGAGGTTGGTGGTATTGAGCACAGTTTAGACTTCTTGAAGGGATTGTGGGTGCCTTGCACTGGTGCAGACCGTCGGTGCGTTTTTAATACCTCGTTATACTGATTCATCACAATATTGATATTGACCTTCCGTACATCTCATTAGACACCCGGACATGAGGCTGTTATCATAAGCGTCTTCTTCGGCAGGGACGTAGTTCTGATAACAGTTTATTTCACTACAGGGGCCCGCGAGTAATAGGAAGATAACATATGCCTGATCGTCTACGCACTTTGGAATATCTATTATGAGATCACAACCTTAGATGCATGTCAGCTTCTGTTCCCTGGAATGTTCTCGGTAGATGTCCTTCAAGTGTTGCGGCTGTTTCATCGTTCTCTTGGATCAGCACTACGGGCTTTCGCCGCAATTTGCATTGAAGATAATCGATAATCAGTGTTCAAATTCTGCTTTCAGATCGATTACCAAACATGCGTTTCACAAACTCCAGTGGCCGCCACCACTTGGGTTCTTTGATCTTTTTACCTTCTTTCTGTGTCTGCGCAGTGTTCCACAACCCCACATCATGACATGCAAAGCTAAACCTCGTAAACCCTACATAGCGCCCGAGAAACTCGCATATTTCTTTCCAGTTCATTCTCGAAATTCAAACCCAAGCACGGGAAATGCAATGCTGATGGTGGTTGATGGAGGTTGGAGAGGGGAATGGTGTAGACCTCAAGGACAGGAGAAATGTCGTAGGTCTCAGTAAATGATCTGCATGCTCCCAAGGGGGCGAAACTATGTTGAGATCATTGGAGCACGAGGCACCGAGAGGCTACGATGGGAATACTAATCTTAAGATCTTGAACGTTAAACATCGCCAATATGGACAAGTGACTTGGTACCATCCGTCTCATTAAAACTCACCCACTGCCACAGGTACAATCCTAATGGTACAGAGTGACAAACACTGCAAGCATTGGGGAAAATATCTCTGTCATCCTGATCATGACGGCTCCACTTGATTGCCGGTCCGAAGACTCCAAGCTATCGATCAGCGTTGTACTCTCTCTCTCTTTCTCCTCTCCTCTCTGATGCTGCTTGGAACATAAACGGCTGTTAACCCTTAGAATTGCTCTGCGCGAGACAGGGTTCTCGCGTGCTTTCGTCAGCGCCAGCCCTTAGAATTCAACAAGCACAAACAACACGTCGTCTTCAACATTCATCATGTCTACAGCACACACCTTCCAGTCTCCATCCGTCACGCTCGAAAAAGGCGCGTACCGAATGCGTGCACCACGCAGCTCACGCCCAGGTTCTTCCCTCAGCCAAAGCCTACTCAGCGCCAAACAACCGCCATCCCACTCTCAAAACAGAACACTCGCGATCCTCATCACCGTACTAGCTTTCGCATCAGTCACATGCTTTTTCTTCGCGTATCATTTATTCACCACCAGGTTCGCTCCCTTTGCGCAACCACACCCGCACCCCACTGACGCCTTCCCAAAGCAAACCCACCCGCTCCTGACACCAAATACCTCTCCTAGTTCCCCCACAGTGGATTACACAACTAACGCATCGCACTCAAGAATGTGCTTGTACTCTCTCGACCACTTAATCGTACTCTTCTTGTTCCTTTTCTAAGACTTAGAAAACCAATTCTATATGTTTCATTTGAAAACTTCAGACACTTCCTTGTGCTTGGGTCTAAAACCGAGCTTGAACGCTGTCTGCTTGTCCCTCCAAACGTGCCCACTCCCAATGAATGTTCAGGGTATGAAGAATAGACTTGCATCTGGCAAGATCAGCTCATCGATTTACACACAATAGGAGAGAAATTCGGAGTCAAGATTATCCAATGGGACGGAAGCCCAGTCGTATGAAAAGTTTTCATGCCAATATCTTTGACACAGACACATTGACGCACCAATGCTCCAGTCCTTACGATTTCCGGTTTCTGGACACGCTTCATGATGTATCGCCTATGCGGGACAAGTATCTCTATTCCATCCACATCCCGGCTCTTGTGTGAGCGCTTGAGCACCCGAGGGATTGGTGCAGATTGGGACGTTGTTTGAGTCTTTGAGGCTTAGGCTTAGACACGGTGTGAGTAAGAGGGTACGCAGAGATGTAAGAAGTGGAATGGCATTTACGAATTCACATCTATCTCGTGGCCAGTACGATATATGAAACGTTAGGCGTTGTGTATATTGATGCGCACCTTCGTGTCACGGACAGCCAGCTCAAACAACGAAGCGCCAAAAATGCAAGAACAATCTGGTGGAAACTTGTGCGCTAGATCTCGAAGGGACTCTGGCACTTGAACAGCAGCTCAGTCCTTTTGACCAGGACCTTGATCGCCGCTTATCCAACCAGATGTACCAAACCTCAGGATATCTCATCCGCCTTTGTTCCTCTGCCGCATACAGTCAAATACAAGATCCGATGTCATGCACCTCTACATACCTCAGCACCGTTGCAGAGACTAAATGCCCCTCTCTACATCGCTACCAACTCCCTGAATCCTGTAGCAGACCCATCGTTTTCGATTTATCTTCAAACCTTCCCGTGTATATTCTTCCTTTCAGATTCTACATCTCGCCTGACTCCCCTCGACGAATTGATCAATCCATATGACCAGGTCCCATTAAAGGAGTTTTTGATACTGGTGCTGGACACGATGGTATTGCTGAGGTTGTTATCACGAATGGAAGCACTTTTGGGGCATTTATGAAGGACGTGCTGTGAAGGCGGTATTGGGGATTTGAGATCGTGCATAGGGGATGAGTGCTGGAACGTACGTCGGACAAAACCGATCGCTTTTTATGTAGCATTGTCTAGCCACGCGCTCCCTGAGGTGCACGTCTCAAATATACCCTACCCCAATGTACTCACTCGAAACCAAAGTGACTGCGGATAACTCCATGTTTCCCGTTGTATTAGAAAAGAGAATTCAAGGAACATGGTGCCATCTGCATAGTCTGACGCTACTGTTTCGAGACGACTGTATTGTGTGTGGCGAGAAGGAGATATTAAATTTCTTAATGGAAGGGGAGCAATAAATGTAAGATTCCGACACAGAATTCAGTCAGCCCACCCATCTACCACGACGACGAGAGGGGCACTACACGGATCCACCAATGGACCCTTCATTGAGCAATGTGTAGAAATCGAAGCCCGGGAGCAAAGGAATGAAGTGACGTCTTACATGAAAAGTCATATATTGCTCTCGTAGATTTTGGCGATGCTCGTACAGTACAACGTTGTGATTATAGCGGATCTGCAGTAGATATGTACAATAGTAGCACAGGAAGACGTATCAGGACATATCCAGCCATACATCCTTGAATGACTTACCATTATCCCCACGAATGAACGCGTCCCAATATCAATTATGACTGCACCATTAATATGCTCCTCCGTCTGCTCCAGCGCGATGTTCATATACCTATCTAGACATGAGAGAACGCCTATACACATAAGCTCGGCTCTAGATTCATAGAGAATGCCTCGATAATCGACGCCTGATGTAAGACATACGATGACCTTTTCCCGACCGCGCCTTTCCAGAAATTAGTCTGTGTTCCTGTTGGTGCTAATGGAGATGGCGGGGGTTGGGATGCGTCGATATCTGGCAGTGGAGGCATTTGACTCGAGTCAAGGATTTGGACTTGTTTGGTTTTCGCGCTGGCAACTTGGAGGGGAGCATTCAAAGGCTTGTTCAACGGCAGACACGAGTTGACATTGGGCTGACCAGGTATCCGCAAGACTTGGTTTTAATTCGGCCTTGTTCAGTGTCACTCTTTTCGTCTTCACATCCATGAATTTGACTTCATGTTCTCCCCTGGTGTTTCTACAACATTGTCACGCTCAATCCTCCTCCACCATGTCACTGTCAGCTCAATTGAACAAGTCATATAGAATCGTTCGACTTTTCTGTGCGCTCCGTTTTCAGCAGTTTGTATTTTTGTTGTCCATTATCTTACGAAATACACGATTCTACATTTTGCTTTTGAAGTGTGCTAAATGAGTGGTACGACTAGCAACCATCACAAGACACTCTGAGACTCGCATGTCCCCTTCAAATTTGCGGGCCACTTTTGCTGAAGACTGATCATGACTTTGTCTATACTTCTCTAGCACAGATTCTTCCGCTAATCCTACTGGTGATTTCATGGCATTTTCAACGCTTAGTGGAATCATACCAGCGTCTATCGTGCCGAACTGCGATTGACAACATGAAAATACACGTGTAGCATAGCCTGAATCCTCAACCTCTTCTTCTCTGCCTCAGCCGAACTTCATCTATCCACAGTCCCTATATTCCTACCCTCGCCTTTCCCTCTCACCCATTCTGCCTGCCGCTCAGTCCATCCTCGATCCTCGTCATTTTGCTTCATCACACCACCATGCCTAGTAGCTTGGAAAGCCGATATATCAGACTTGAAGGTGGGTCGCTCCATATCACATTTGTATCCATTTCGTGATCCTCAGTCTTTTACAGTGATCAGCGGAAAAAATCTTCAAGTCCCCTCCTGGCGCATTCCCGCAGGCATTTACATATCCACCAATGTCGACTCCCAGAGACGCTGGAAATCGGCCGTCAGTGTCTTATCATCCGACCGATCTGCAGCGTGGGGCGACACTGTGACTCTGTAATGTCCAAGAAGACCCTCCAATGCAATGCGAGAGCTGATCTGCGGTTTCTAGATCATACCATACCTCACCTACATTATCAATAGAGATCTGGGCATCCTATGAGGCCGGTCGAATGCTAGGCAGCGGAGAGGTCATTGGGAAACTTCAAACGTCGTGGGATGAGCTACTCGATCATGGAGATGAACCTTTCGGTGAGTCATTTTCTCCTCATTCATGCACGTATACCAACATCTCGTAGTTTTGTCCTTCCCACCCGTTCGTGGTGTCCACCCTTCCCTCACGCTGAGGGCCACCATTGTACATGCTTGCGACGATCAGGAGGGCGCGCTGTCTGATGTAAGTGACGCTGGTCTCTACTGTTAGCTTTGCTGACGGTTCGCCAATCGTAGTCCCTCGTAGACTGCAAGATCGCTCGAGACACAGATGCGGGCCACGCACAATTTGCCGCATACATCGCGAGCAAGACGGTCTCTCACCTGAACGATGCGGTGCAGCATTTTCAGTTGGTTCTAGACCAGTGTCCCGTCAGCCATCCCGACCACGCAGCAGCCCTCACCAACCTTGCGTATGCACGCCTTCTGGGGTATATCGCGACAATTTTGAAGATATTGATACCCCCACTTCGCTGTTCCGCGAAGTCCTTGTATTGCGTCCGCGGCACCATCTTGATCATCCGTTATCTCTATATAATCTCACTGAAGCGCTGAACTGGCGCCATGACAAGAAAAGTACTGCTGCCGACATCTGCGAATCCGCCAAACTCTATCATGAGCTACTGCCTCTCTGTCCAGAGGGCACCTACCTTCGTAGCATCGCGGCAGGGACAAATGGTGTCGATTATGTGATCAACAGATGCAACAAACTTCCGATAGACGCATCTGATGAAGGCATCACCTCCGACGAGTTGTCCTCGAGCTCTGTCCTCTGGGCCATCAACACCGTCCTGGAACCCTCGACAAGCTTGCACAAGCAGTCGAAGCACGCTTTGATCAGCACGGCACCATCGATGATCTTGAAATGAGCATACAACTTGGTCGTGAAGCTATGTCTCTATGCCCCGAGGGACATACTGACCGTGCTTACTACCTGAACAACTTGGCCTTCTCGCTCGGATACCGCTTCAATCACCAAGGCAAACCTAATGACCTCAATGAGACCGTCTCTTTGTACGAAGAAACGCTGCGCCTGTGCCCTGTTGGGCACCAATATCGTGATACCTCATTGGACAACCTAGGGGGCGCCCTCATCAGCCGTTTCAACAAACGCGGCGACATTGATGACATCACCCGAGCTATCAGCCTCCATCGCGAGGCACTGACATTGTGCCCACCTGGGCATCCACGTCGTGATACCACGCTTAACAGCCTTGCCCTCGCGCTCAACACCAGATACAAAAACTGAATGTCATTGAGGATCTTAACGAGGCCATTGATCAGTATCGCGAATCCCTTCGGTTACGGCGGCATGACCATCCACAACGCCATAGAACTCTTCACAATTTGAGCTCGGCACTCTGCTCTCTTTTCACGGAAACTCGGGAGAATGAAGATATCGAGGAGGCGATTAATCTTTGCCGAGAGTCATTGGCAGCTCTGTCTTCACTGCACCCGGACAGGTATTTCAGCTACATGTGGCTGCAGGAGGCTTATTTGTCTCGTTACCGGATTCTACGCGATGCTGCTGATTTGTCGCTTGCTATAGAGAACTTTAGACTCGCATCAAGACATCCTACTCAAGGATTTCCAGAACGCATCAAGGAGGCTATTGACTGGGCTCATCAAGCAGAAGTCTATCAACATGAATCTGCCTCAAAGCATACCAAATGTACTTCGAGCTTTTCGAAAGCCACGTGATGACGCGATCGTCGATCATCTCACGGCGCGAGGCTGCAACCGCTTTTCTTGGTGCACAATCACTCCCTGTAGATGCGGCCTCATGTGCCATACGTCGTGACAATCTACGACAGGCAGTTGAACTTGTGGAGCAGGGCCGTGGCCAGCAGTGGTCGCTGGCCTCTCGACTCAGGACTCCACTGGAAGACTTGACGTCTGCGAGTCCGGGACTAGCTGAAAAGCTCTTGGGCTCAACATGCGCCTATCTCATGCTCAGGGTTCTGCAGGCAGCGCTGACCCAACTGCGGCTGATCGGGCTGCAACAGAATATAGAATACTCACAAGGCAATGGGACGCTGCAGTGACTGAAATCCGTGATCTTAAAGCATTCTCGCGCTTCCTGCTCCCGCCTTCGTACGAAGACTTGCAAGCGGCAGCACGCCAGGGCCCTGTCATCATCTTCATTGCCAGTCAATATTCGTGCAGCGCATCATCGTTCCGACGTTGGGGGAGCCCCATCATGTACCCTTGCCGTCTGTCACCCTCACTGATCTGAACAATCTCAAGGATCGCTTCGCCAGGGCCATACGACACGATCCATCATGGGCCCAAAGTTGCCTCGGAACGATCTAATAGTCCTCTTGCGGACAGTATGGAAGAGATCATGCTACCCATCGTAAACGTACTCGAACATGTCCTTGAGCTAAAGCATGGCTCTCGAATCTGGCTATGTCCAACTGCAGCTTTCACATCTATTCCTCTCCATGCAGCTCACCCCTTTCAAACGAGGGCAGATCGCTCTAAAGAGCCATGCCTGGAGGATCTCTACATCTGCTCTTACACGCCGACACTTTCGGCTCTCGTTAGATCTAGACAGATGATGAAGAAGCGCGTCACTCGTCCTTGTGACAATCGGACAGGGTCAACCGGGCACGGGGAAAGGCAAGGCGCTCTTGGCTGTCGATAGCGAGCTCGAGCTTGTCCATAAGCTCGTCCCTGCGACGGCCAACGTACCACTATTTCTGGTGACGCAGCCACACGAGCAGGTGCACTCAAAGCTTTAGAAGAGAACCTGGGTGCACCTCGCTTGCCATGGCAAGCAGGACCCTGCGCAGCCTTACAATTCCCACTTCGTCATGAAGACGAACATCTGACGCTGCTCGATATCATGGAGAAACATGTCCCGCATGCTGAGTTCGCATTCTTGTCCGCTTGTCACACCGCCGTCGGCGATAAGGAGACGCCCGACGAGTGATTCACCTCGCAGCTGGTCTCCATTTTCGGGGTTCAAGAGCGTCATTGGCACGCTGTGGGAGGTCGATGATTCTGTCGCAAAGCACGTCGTCAAAGCATTCTACGAGAATTTGTTCGATGGTTTAGAGGAGGGTGGTCATGGACTGTACGAAGGCGGCCTGGGCACTCAACCGTGCTACGCACGCTGTGAAGACGAAAGTCCCGCTTGAGCAGAGGATGGTTTTTCTTCATATCGGTGTGTAGTTCCTGCTGTATTGCTTCATCTGGTACGGTTTCACGTGTTCTTTGTATCGCGTTCTTTTTCGTCCCCAATGTACTTCAAGCTGTTGCTACTGACTTAGCCTGTTACATTCGTCTATCGCGTACTTACATGCTATCTTGTTTTGGCTTTCGTTTTTGTCTACTCTCGTTGCGATGACTTCACGGTGTATTCGAATATTAATGTTCACGACTGTTGCGACTCGACCCGGACCTTCAAGCGCCCATGTTCTTCAACTCCTGCACCACACTCAGTAAGCGCCGCATCGCAACAAATATCTAGACAGAAGCAAAGCTCATCCACCAACCCACTGCAGGGGCTGCTTATACCCAACGCTGTCGATAAGCAGTACTGTAGAAACACCAGGGGAGAACATGCGGAAGCCCAGTTGCACAATATATGAGAAAATCTCAAAAATATTGAAGCAGACACTGGCCGCAGACTCGGGCCTTTGCGATGTTTGGTTCTTGGACACGTTTGATGATGTATTGCCTACGCGGGACAAGTATCTCTATTCCATTCACATCCTGGCACTTGTTCAGGCACTCGAGGATTGATGCAGATTGGAACGTTGTTTGGGTCGTGGAGGCTTAGGCTGAAACAGGGTGTGAGTAAGAGCATGCGCAGAGATGTAAGGGCGGAATGGTGTTTGTGAATCCACGCCTGTGTCGTGGTCGACATGATACATGGAATGTTAGGTGCTGTCTACATAAGTGTGCATCTTTGTATGGGGACGGTCAGTTTAACAACGAAGGCCTGACAATGCAAGAACAATCTAGTGGAAACTCGTGCACCTTGTTTGTGAACTATATCTTGAAAGACTCCTGGTACTGAACAGCAGCTC